TCGCCGCTGCAGGCAGAGTGTAGCCATAGTACATGCAGTATTCTGATTTCTCGTGACACTGATTTCCCTACAGGTACACCGGGACAACACCCCCGCACAGTGACATGCCGCACATAGACACAATACAGTGAAACACACAATGCACTCAAAATTAGACAATACAGTGAAGCATACATAATACGGTAAAACAGACACAATACAGTGAAACACACAATACACTCAAAATTAGACAATACAGTGAAACATACATACAACAGTGAAACAGACACAATACAGTGAAACAAGAAAACCCACAATCATACAGACGACAGCACCATCACAAACCAATATGAATCTCCCCCAAAACCAAATGAGAGCGGAAGACTCACTCAACAAGCACCTGACCGGCGAACCAGGAAAATTGCGCCAGGATTTACAAACACCGGGAGCACATTAACGTCACCTTATACATCAACAGGAAAATCATAACACACAACAATAATAAACAATAGACAACTTGACATCTTGACCCAACACACAATCACCCTAGAAGCCGAGAACGAGGCAACCCGTTGTTACAACCATTTTTTATAGTAAAATTATGTTTAAACCGGCTTCAATACATCTCACACCAATAACAGAAACCAAGGTATCGTCACCAAACGGCTTGCTACTATCCTTTCCCTCAGATTGAGAAGTGAATGTGTGTGTGTAATGCTTGGTAACTGCCTTTTGATCTGCTGGAGACCTGACATAAGGAAGACCTCGACGGAGGTCCTTTGGTTAATGTGTGGACAGCTGATAGCACCCAGTAAGTACAACTAGGTGAGCACAGGTGGCCACAGATGGCGCGGACGCTCTACGTCACCAAACACACTACTAGTGTAACATTAAGGGGGTTGTGTGCACTGGTTCCCGACACCTGGCACGGACGGTGTGACATTAGGGGGGGGGTTGTGTGTACTAGTTCCCTGCAGGTGGGGACGGAGTTACACTTATGTGGATCCTGTTTTTTTCTTTTGGAGGATAATTTTTTGTTTTACCAGAAATAAAGATCAGTAAAACTGGTACGTGTGTCTTAGAATAGGATAAGTCCAAGCATCTTTAGCAAGGATAAATATATTTTTAGGACAATTTTCATGTAATTTTTTAAAAGTTTGTTTCCTTACTGAAATTAAGTTTTCGCTTGAGATCTAATACATGACTAAAAATTTTTGCAAAAAGCTTCATTTAGGGAGATGAGTTAGGCACCTGACCCGAGGCCAGCCTCATAGGCCTCCCTTGTCCACCTGCAGGTGTTGAGCTCCCAATTAATAATGGGTGATCACAACTGAGGCAGGAGTGACCTTTCACCCCCAAACAACCATCAACTCATCTCCTACCTGGAACAACAATTAACTGGCTCATTTCAAACACCACATACAAGCCCTCTAATGATACATCAACTGTAGTTATGAACGAGCCCAACAGACTCGGGAATAGTCCCCACAAAATAGACCCCTGCAAGCACAATTAGGTGAGCATAATTAAGCCGTACGTAAGTATATTCATTACGAAGGAACTTGCAATCAACCAATTTTTGTCTTCAACTTATGCACTAAAAGTTTGCATGGACACATGGGGGGGGGGGGGCAGAAAACGTCCCCTGAAGAATAAAAAACAAAAAACTTGTCTGAGTTACGGGAAGTAATTTAACTCCCGTGTCTTTGTAGTCAAGCAATTATTCTTTACGCTTCCTGGTGGAGGAAGTAATTTACCAGTCATGGAGACGCAACAGTCTACCTCAGGCACCTGTGAGTTGAACAATAGACATTGTGGGAGGCGGGCGGCGTGGGGCTCCACCTACTGTCACGCAGGTCCAGTGTCTGTCCCCCAACGTTAAGAAACTATCGTACTAAAGTGCCCTAATCTTATTCTACCAGAGGACCCAAAACAGAAAATGGGACAGAATGTCAATTTTGCGAAGCCGCTACCATTTTCTACTACGGCAATTTTGGTCTTAGGTAGAATGTACGTCACAGCTGTCGGTGTTCACAAGATTCCTGAACACAGCTGAGAGGTGCAGAAAGTAGGTAATATGCAAATTATAAGGCTTACAATAAGTGTCATCATTATAAGAGAATTAACTGGACAAAATGATAATGAATAACCTGCGAATATTGCATAACTGTAATTACTGGGGGAACTAGCCTAATTTACAGTATATAGTGCAAGAGGTAACCCATAGGTTGGACAACTTTTTAATTCGTTAGGGAGTGAGTTCCATATCCTAGCTCCCTTTATTTACATGAGTGTTTGTACAGATTTAGTTTGACTCTGGAAATATCTAAGAGATATTTATTTCTGGTGTGGTGATTATGGGTTCTATTACATGTCAAGGAAGAGTTTCAGATCAGGAATTGCGTTAAGAAACAAGGTTTTGTGCATACAAATAGCACGAGAGAATGTGTGGAGTGAGTGTATGTTTAGCGTGTTTAGGGAGTTAAACAGAGGGGTTGTGTGTTGTCTAAAAATAATGTAAGTTATTGTTCTGATAAGAGAATTTTGCTGGGTGATGATGGGCTTGAGGTAATATTTAAGGGTTGAGCCTCATGCACAGATACCGTGTGTAAAATAGAGAAAGATTAGCGAGTAGTAAAATGAGAGGAGAGCAGAGTGGGGAACATAATATCTGATTTTAAAAAGTATAGCAACCGTTTTTTAGACTTTTTGGCTGTGTGTTGTATGTGGGTGCTGAAGTTGAGCCTCTTGTCTATATATAGGCTAAACAATTTTCAATCATTTGTATGGCTGATGTTAACATTGTCTATCTGAAGTTGAATTTGATTGATAATTTGTTTCAAACATTGTCTTTATTGACTGCAACCTTAGCAAGCGTGTCAACTTTATTATGTTCCTGCAGGCCAGTGTGAGAGACAATCCACAACATGTTGATGTTTACACCCTTATTAAGTATGCTTATATATCTATGTCTGGCTTACATACCCTCTCTTCCTGGCTCCCTCTCCTCCACCACCCACTTACCTTCTCTCCCCCTGTTTGCTCTACCCCACTAACCGTCCTTTCCTGCCTCCTCTCCACTCCACTAACCATCCCCCCCTGCCCCCCCCCCTTTACCCCTCTCCCCCTCCCTACCTCCTCCCCCCCCCATCTCTATTCACAGGCATGACAACCCTTCTGAAACACCAGGAACACAAACAAAACAGTTCAGTACAAAATGTGTTCAGCTGAGGTAATCTGTTTACCTCAGAACGATGTTCGGAGCTTCCTGCTCATTTCTCAAATATTAGCATGAATTAAGCGTTACTGTAAATTTACAGTGCAATAATGTGATGTGATAACGGTGCTGAGGCTATACCGGGCGGTGGAACAAGGCACATACGTTATATAAAAAAAAGGCATTAGCCTTTGCAGTGTGAAAATTGCACAGGAGTGAAGGAATACTCAAACGAAAAATTAATACAAGTTACTTTATCAAAATGTAATATATCAACATGAACAAATAACGGAAAAATAAAAAAAAAACTATTTTTTTATTTATACATGCAAGCATGCGTATAAATACAATAAAAACTAGAACAAAACCGCACAAAAGTACAAAATGAGAAAGCACAAACTCGCAAAAGTACAAAATAGCAAAATTACTAAACCACAAAACACCGGCCGGAAGGGCCGACCACAAAACATAACAATAATTACAAACACAGTGGAATATAGTACAGAAATGACAACATTGCCACACATGGCACCCAAACCTGCACCCAACAACCCAAACACAAGAACATAATTATACAGAGTAAGTCTACAGGCACTGTAACCACACACACAGAGGCACCAATACAAAATGATAAAAATATACAACAATAAAGGAAATACAGACAAAAAATAGAAACAAAAAGAAAAGCACAATCGCAGTACATGATAATGAGAACAAACCCAGGCCGAGCCAACCACGCAGCCTGAATGGCACTCAACACAACACAAACAAGCGCACAATCAGTAACTTAATAATAGGACATCCACAACCAGACACACACACACTAACAATCACCGGAACACACATAAACCAGACAGACACACAAGCTACACAAATCTACCCACAACCACAAACCGGAGCATGCAGGAGCCGGGAAAATAAACCCGCCCCACCTACACACACACGCGCGACCCGCACCCCACAACCATGCACACAAATGGAAAAACCCACAACATACAGCAAACAAAGGAATCACGGGTTAGGAATATATTTCTCAGAGACAGGAACATATTTTTCAGAGAACACATCCCGAGGATACTTTTTCTTATAGGCCTCCTAACTCAAATGCTCCATGTCGGTAGGGGCACGATCCCCCTTCCGCCGTGGTCCCCCTCATAAACTCAGGAATCACCAAATCCGGTGGAAACTGCCACTCCCGAAGCTCTCCGATGCACGTCGCATAACGAGGCAGGGGAGCGCGAAACATCCCCTCCGAGGAAGCAGAAGACACGGAAGAAGTGTACGTGTACATAGGCCGCCGAGACGGCCTCGCCACCGAATGCACAGGAGAAGGTGAAGGCTGACGAGATGGTAACACCTCCACCGATACCGCAGAAGATACAGAAGAAACGGCCGGAGACGGAAGAGGCGTCAAGACCGCCGCCGATGAAACAGGGAACGAGAAAGGGGGGCACGGAACCCCCAGAGCGACCAGCCTTTTTCAACACCACCACCAGGTTACCACACTCACCACGAACCTCAGCAGGGGAAACCACACCCCCCCCACGAAGAATCGGAACCATCCGATGCAGGTGACGCACCCGAAGCAAGATCCATCACACAAGAAGGGGAGGCCGAAACACCGGCACCGGCATCCACAGGCAAATGCACCTCCGCCACCACCGTAGAATGCAACGCAACCGGAGCCACCCCGCTGTCGCCGGAAGATCCACAGTCGTCAAAATCGCCAACATCAGCCCAGGCAGAAGAAGAATGCCGAGAACGCTTAGGCTCTGACCACACATCATCAGATCCGGAGACAGACTCAGACACGAGCACCACAAGCCGGGTGATCCGACGCTCGTTGTAGAACGGCAGCATCATCAACCACATGGGGTACCAGGCCAGGCACAGGAGGAGGCGCTGTATCCACCCCAGCATCCAGCACAGTCGGGACAGACGGCGAGAGTACAGGGACAGGTGCAGCATATGAAGAACTTGAAGACGGGGGTGCCGAGCTGAAGGCAGACGGAAGATCCACAGGAACTCCAGGGACACCAACTGGAGCAGGACGGGCACCAGATGGCGAAACATCCACCGGAGGAGAGGCGACAACAACAGGAGGCGCAACAGTCGACACAAGAGGCACAGCATCGGCCAGAGACGTCCACATCCACACCCACCGAAGCCTCCACAGGAAGCGGCGGGAAATCCTCCTCACTGAAGAGGTTCACGGGCGCAACGGCAGGTGCAGAACACCCAGCAACCTGATGGCCCAAAAGGCCACAACGCTAACACGTCGCTGGTGGCCAACGGGTGTTTTATGCTGGCGGGCGTAAAACACCCAACATGGTATCCCATAAGTTTCACGAATGTTCGTCCGCACACCCTTGAGCGGACTCGAGGAGATCATATGCAACCTCACAATAACAACGGCGCCAAACTGGCCGAAGTAACACCGCAGCAGTCCCTCTGGATACTCCAAGGGCGCCCCATGAACACTGACTTAAGTGAGGGCACCACTACGATCTGAGAGGGTCACAGTGCCCGCATCGTCCGGCAGGGGTAAGGTCCGCCCCTTGTAGCGACGGAGAAACTCCCGATACGCCACCTCTTCTGTGAACTTGATAATAGCCCGATGTGCAGTCACCAACTCGACGCCACACACGTCCATCACAGGGATACGAAGCATCTCACATAACACCAGCGCCACCTCAGGATAACCGGCCCGACCGGAAAACTCGAGGCACACAGACTGAGCCCTCACTACAGGGGGAAGAGGTACCCCTCATCCTGCCACTAGTACACGAAAAATAATAACAACAACAGGCGATTACCTAAATGTAACAAGGAACTGGCGGGTCTTGCAGCTGCACACACCTGCCTGTAGTACTCGGGCTGTGTTGCCGGTGTGCAGCTGCAGGTGCCCAAACATCTGACTGGGTTGAGCTCCATACCGGTCGTAACACGCGGTATGCAGAGTGGTGAACAACGAAGCTAAGAAGGAGGAGGCAGTTTTCTCTGCTATGCTGAGGAATTATGTAACAATATATTCATTCAAACTTTTATCATATGTAATGAAAACGTCAAATTTGTAATCCTAATGTTTCATCATAAATTAAGGCAATGTAGTCTGTGAATTTTGCCATGATGAAAGTCCTTTATTATATTCATTATTTTTTTAATATAGTGGAGGTAAAGTGTTTAATGTCGAGCCGCCTGGACGCCACTCAAACAGGTATTGCTTCATCACTCCTGAAGGACTATTTCTGAATGACATATGAGGCGTTTACTAACATTTAATATTATCGGAGCACTCCGGGGATTTGAACCAGCGTTCTCGGTCTTCCTACCCACCCGCGCTTTAATCTACTTAACCACATTACGCTAAAAATAATTTAACCTGGGATTCTACTGAATGCACTAGGGTGTCTTGAGGCATCGAGCTGGTGCTAAATTGAGTTTTATACAAATTACTCACATATAGTCTGGTGTGGGTGTAGGCCCTCTACCCCATGGACTCCCTCCCTCTCTAAATAGTGCATCAGGTTAATAGCACTTCTAGTTATTGTCTGAATTACCGCGTAAGAAGTCTGTGATATCTTTCTGAACTTCTCTATTCCCCTGACCACCTTTACTAGCAATATTGCCCGTTGCAATATGGCTGATAGCCCATGTATAGGCTTATATAGCCCATGCAATATAAGCCGATAGCAATAGGTCATCCAAGGAGTAAAGTATTTCATGCATTAATGCACAGCTCGAGTGTGTCACCTAACTTGTGTCACCCCCGCCTTGTGTCACCCCACGGGTGTGTGCTCCCTGGGACAGGTAGACCGACCACCTGCGACTGAGGCGTCCAAATGATACGTGCCGGATTACTGAGAGTGTCTGCTCGACCTCGATTCAGGGCCGGGAGCTAGAGTCTCGATTCACATCAAATTTATAGATGAAGATGCTCGTACCACTGTGGCTTCCAGACGGGGATGAGAGTGTGAGAGAGTGATACGAGGGTGAAGCGTTCACAGATGTGATCATGGGCTTATTGACCCCCCAACATGACCTTACTGACCATCCAACACGACCTTACTGACCATCCACACGACCTTACTGACCATCCAACACGACCTTACTGACCATCCAACACGCATACTTTAATCATGAACAATTTTCAAGTCTTAAGTAAACTGTGTCTTCAGTGATAAGTGAGATATTCGCCCTAATGTCCGCTTATTAACATTAAAATACTGGGCTTAAAATGCCGTCATGCTCACCTGATTGATAACAAACTACTGAACAACCAAAAGACGTGTTAATCTAATGGCTGTGAAGGATTCAGTGAGAATGTAACATTGTCTAAGAGGCGACGTGACGAGCTCTCCTCTACACCATGGCACATGTCCCAGCCATGAATAACGCACAAACAACAGGAGAGTTATTACTGGCCAGCGCTGCTCCGTTAGCAAATACGAATGAGTCTCGATTCCTAATCATGGGGAACTTCAACCATGGTGGGAGAGACTGGGAGAACAGTGAGCCACATAAACAAACTAATGCACCGGGAGATAAATCCATGGAAGTGGTAACGAGAAACTACCTACATAAATATGTCAATGGAACCTCAAGAATGAGATGTAATAGTGAACCGGCCAGACTTGACCTAATAGTGAACCAACCTTAGATTTGAAACTTGAGAAATATATGAGCCAGAGAGATGCTAAAAAAGTTTCAGTACAAGAGTAGTTAGAAAATGTAATGAATTAAATGCGTAGCTTGTAGAAGCAAACTCTATTCATAATTTCAAAATAAAATTTTCATAGAAATAAGCCGGGAGTCGTTGTCCATGACGACCGGTGCCTAGAATGACGGGGCCCATGAGCTAAAGCTCGATATTGCCGGCAATAATAATACTCCAATTATGGAGTATAAATTATTAAAGCTGTAGACTTTTCAAACTATTTTATTTCATGCTTAAAAGTCAAATATTGTGGCAACTAAGTAGCGCTTTACACAGCAAATATTTTGGCGATCTCTATACAAATCTAATTTGGCGATTGAAATATGCACACATTATTTGGCAATTAACCTAAACAAATTTGCTGTATCACACAAGCACAAATCATTCGGCAATTGAAACGTACAAAATCATTTTGACATTCAAGCGCTAATCGTTTGTTAATTCATACACTAATCATCTAGTGAACGTTCGTAAGGTGGGGGCCAAGAGCTTAGGTCGGCCCTAATATATATATATATATAAAAACTGAAAACTCACACCCCAGAAGTGACTCGAACCCATACTCCCAGATGCCACGCAACTGGTATGTACAAGACGCCTTAATCCACTTGACCATCACGACCGGACATAATGAGATGATAGCCGAGGCTATTTGAACCACCCCACCGCCGGCACTCGGATAGTAATCTTGGGCATAGCATTTTACCAAATCACCTCATTCTTTGGGGCACACGTGAGGAACACAAATGCGAACAAGCCTGAATGGTCCCCAGGACAATATGCAACTGAAAACTCACACCCAGAAGTGACTCGAACCCATACTCCCAGATGCCACGCAACTGGTATGTACAAGACGCCTTAATCCACTTGACCATCACGACCGGACATAATGAGGTGATAGCCGAGGCTATTTGAACCACCCCACCGCCGGCACTCGGATAGTAATCTTGGGCATAGCATTTTACCAAATCACCTCATTCTTTGGGGCACACGTGAGGAACACAAATGCGAACAAGCCTGAATGGTACCCAGGACAATATGCAACTGAAAACTCACACCCCAGAAGTGACTCGAACCCATACTCCCAGATGCCACGCAACTGGTATGTACAAGACGCCTTAATCCACTTGACCATCACGACCGGACATAATGAGGTGATAGCCGAGGCTATTTGAACCACCCCACCGCCGGCACTCGGATAGTAATCTTGGGCATAGCATTTTACCAAATCACCTCATTCTTTGGGGCACACGTGAGGAACACAAATGCGAACAAGCCTGAATGGTCCCCAGGACAATATGCAACTGAAAACTCACACCCCAGAAGTGACTCGAACCCATACTCCCAGATGCCACGCAACTGGTATGTACAAGACGCCTTAATCCACTTGACCATCACGACCGGACATAATGAGGTGATAGCCGAGGCTATTTGAACCACCCCACCGCCGGCACTCGGATAGTAATCTTGGGCATAGCATTTTACCAAATCACCTCATTCTTTGGGGCACACGTGAGGAACACAAATGCGAACAAGCCTGAATGGTCCCCAGGACAATATGCAACTGAAAACTCACACCCCAGAAGTGACTCGAACCCATACTCCCAGATGCCACGCAACTGGTATGTACAAGACGCCTTAATCCACTTGACCATCACGACCGGACATAATGAGGTGATAGCCGAGGCTATTTGAACCACCCCACCGCCGGCACTCGGATAGTAATCTTGGGCATAGCATTTTACCAAATCACCTCATTCTTTGGGGCACACGTGAGGAACACAAATGCGAACAAGCCTGAATGGTCCCCAGGACAATATGCAACTGAAAACTCACACCCCAGAAGTGACTCGAACCCATACTCCCAGATGCCACGCAACTGGTATGTACAAGACGCCTTAATCCACTTGACCATCACGACCGGACATAATGAGGTGATAGCCGAGGCTATTTGAACCACCCCACCGCCGGCACTCGGATAGTAATCTTGGGCATAGCATTTTACCAAATCACCTCATTCTTTGGGGCACACGTGAGGAACACAAATGCGAACAAGCCTGAATGGTCCCCAGGACAATATGCAACTGAAAACTCACACCCCAGAAGTGACTCGAACCCATACTCCCAGATGCCACGCAACTGGTATGTACAAGACGCCTTAATCCACTTGACCATCACGACCGGACATAATGAGGTGATAGCCGAGGCTATTTGAACCACCCCACCGCCGGCACTCGGATAGTAATCTTGGGCATAGCATTTTACCAAATCACCTCATTCTTTGGGGCACACGTGAGGAACACAAATGCGAACAACCCTGAATGGTCCCCAGGACAATATGCAACTGAAAACTCACACCCCAGAAGTGACTCGAACCCATACTCCCAGATGCCACGCAACTGGTATGTACAAGACGCCTTAATCCACTTGACCAT